GTCGCTGCTACCGAATTGCATATACCGGGTGTCGCGAACAAAGCGCACACTCTCTCTTTTCTCCTCTTCTCGCGATACTCACTGAAAAAGGTTCAATAATACGCACAGAAATCCGCACAGAAATTTAACGAGATTCTTCAAAGAAACAGACTTAAAGCGACTTAAAAAAAAAAATCCTCTTTCTCCGATATACTCTTGAACGCGTGACTCGAGAGAATGATGTATAGCTGAATATGCCTCTCGATGTGACGGCACTCTATCGTATTCCGCAGGTGTTCCACAGCCAGCGTTACGACTACGTAATTATCTGAGGAGAGGAGGGGATATATCGCCGCCGCTGATTAACGTGGCAGTGGCCGCGTAAACAGGGCTACTTACAATTGCGATTCAGGTGAGACAACTCCAGAGCCGCGCACTTGTAACGATGCCTGGACTCCAGCGTGGGTATCACGATACCAATCACCAGGTTCGAGTCCTTCTCGTGGTAGCACACCAGGGCGTCGCATTCCTTCCCATCTGCAATGCATAGTCAGTTTCGTGATTACGCGCTTCTTCCTTCAACATCAACCGAGTTGGGCCGAGCTAAATCGACCAAGAAGCCGGTCGAACGAGAAGTCAAACCGAGAACAAAAGGCAAACGGGATCGGGAAAGTTGGTTTCGATCTCTCTTGGGCAGATAAGAGGATTCTCAAGGTCTTTCCCTCTCAGTCAGAACTTTTCCTTAATTCTTCCAGATAATTTTCAGAGGAACCTTAAGCTGTTTTCAATTTGTATTCACGGGAGTCTTTTCTACTTGGTATTTGGGTAAGTCTTTTAAAAGTTTTTACGTTCCGTGTGTGTGTGTGTGTGTGTGTGTATGTGTATGTGTGTATGTGTGTGTGTGTGTCCAAGGGTTGAAACAGAGCTAAAGGATTATTTTTTGTAGAATATGAAACATTGGAATCTCTAGATCAGTGCCCCTTTGATTTCCAATCGATCTTGAAACTTATTCAATTCGATAGGATATTTTTGGGATAAGTCTAGGTGTTGGGGGGCCAATCGGACAAACTTTGAGACAGATCGAACAGCTCGTTGGCGCGATAAGGGATGCGAACTGAGCGTCCCAAGAGGGAGATTCGCGATCTCTTATGAATATAAAACAGAAATTTGGCGCTCCTGCGCGAGCCGAGCGCGATCCGAGAACGAGTTTAAGTGAACGGATGATGGGGATGGGAGATAGAGGATGGGAGGAGGGACAGGGGAGAGGAGGGGGGGGGGGGGCGTAATAATTCGCGCATTATCGCTTCCGTTTACTCGAAATTTATTCCCGCGTAGTCGGGGCCGCGCGTAACCGTTCACTTGAGAAATAGATTAAATCGTTATCGTCCGCGGGCCATTATGCGCGCAAAATGTCCCATAGAGGTAAATAATGTGCGCCATAATGGCGACGGCGCTTATATGACGGGGCGCGAGAGCGAACGGGGCGGTTAAGGAAATCGGTTACGACGTCGCCCTTTAGACCTCGCCGTAATCCTGACGTTTATTTATCGGAGCGTACGTTCGCGAAATATAGGGAATATTCGAGGGAAGTGGGCAAACGGGATGGCCGCCATGACAATTGGACGCCATGAAGGCTCCAAGGATCGATAGCAAGCATTTCGTTTTAACAATCGCAAAACCTCCATCAAGTGCTTTCATCGCATTAAGGCAAAATTAATGGAGGAATTTACACGATATTTACAAAATTACACCGGATTTCATTTCTCGCGCAACTCGTAAAATGCACTTTGAATATCTAAATTTAAAACGCACATATATAAATAAACGGGCAAATTTCGCCCTCAATTTACGCCTTAAATATTCATCCGCTATCGGCGGATCAATACAATTTTTTCGTCGTCGTGAAATAATTCGATACATTCATTCATATTAATCATAGCGTGTTTCTTACAAATCACTTTCAAGACCACTTTTAGTTCTTTCTTTTTCTCAGAATAAAATCTTATTCCTTTTCCTTTTTTATTTTTTAACATTACACGGACTTATTCAGTATATAATTCGTTGCGGAGAAAATATTTCATCGATCACTGTATTGAACTTCTCTGTATCAAATTATTCAAGAAAAAAAAAAAAAATCTGCATCGACTCAATAAAAACGTCGAAAATGTCGAAATCAGAATATAAAAGTGATTTTATTTTCGTTTAATACGAAAAATATGTAGAATGTCGTCATTTAATGTACCTAAATGAGTTTTATTATTGAAAAATAATGGGGAAAGGAGATATTTAGCTTTTGTCCTTTTAAATTGCAAAATTCATCTGCCAATATTTAAATGCATATTCATTTACAAAAGGAGCATGTGAAACATTTCAAAATTCTGTCATAGTGAAATATTGCAGCAATAAAAGAGCAACATATCGCACATATGACTTTTTCAAATTCGTGAAAAATCCCATAATCTCTGGCATTTCAGTCTATTTTTTGAAAAAATTCGAATCCCATACACAAAAATTGAAATCCCATATGATATTTTTTCTTTTCAGATTAAATTTACAAAGTACAGTTTCGAAAGAGTTAGATTTTTTTTTCGATAAATGCTCATCATTTCCGGCTGTTTCGTTATAAACAAAATAAAATACATAAAATTAATTAATTAAGAGAGACAATTAAAAATCTCACATCTTTTATGAAATATAATATTTCTACTACAAATCGCATGAATTTTTACAATTATTCATGCAATCGTATATACTTGTTACAATTGATGAATTGGAAACGAGTCGGAACGACCAAAGGGATTCAAAGTTGTCGTTTTCTCTCTCTCTCTCT